CTGGCAGTCTCACCTCGTCATCTTTCCATAGCAGCCCAGTCTGGTATCGTTGGCCTATCCGCTTAGTCGTTCCCTCCAAGATGCCCAGGGCCCGTTCATCGTCGCTGGCTGCGACCGGTGGCGCTGGCTTCACTCCGAAGTTTTCAATTTCGAAATAATCGCTGACCATCTTCTCCAGAGCGTCATCCTGAGTAACGGCTAGAAGGCACGATCTCTCCATCAGTGGACTCGCTTGACGTCTCACTGGTCCGTACAGTACCCATCCTAGCTTGGTAGCTGCTGCGTATGGTCCTCCTGCCCCGAAACTTCTGGTCTGTAGGGGTATTCCTAGGTGCGCGTGATCCAGTCCAATAAGGACCCTTGGCGCTGCGTTATTGTACGGCTTTACTGGTAGGCGCGCGCTCGGCCTTGCCGCCTTCACATCTTCCCGACGTAAACTCTGCATCGGAAGATTTAGATTGTTTACTGCGTACACGTTCCTTAATCCGTGTCGCTTCGGTTTGCCCGCTCCACTGATCTGCAGACTAACCATCGTCGTAGGCTCTCTGGCAGACTTACCGCCGAACCACTGTACATTTAGCTGTCGATTCACACCATTGAGGTGTAGGCTTCGGACGAGCTCCTTGTCTATGAGCGTCACAGACGATCCCTCGTCGAGCAGTGCATATGTGTCCACCTGCTTGTTCTCCCCGTACAGCGTCACGGGCAGAATTCGGAATAGCAGATGACCTCCATCCGAATCGACACAACTAAGGTTCCGGTGCTGCATATCATGCCTGTTTGGACTCTCATTTTCCTTGCTCCCTGCGCTTCTCAGGCTTGTTGCATGGGACGTGGAAATGTTATTCATTGTTGGATCCTCTAACTGCGGCATCCGCTTGCGTTGACTGATGACCTCGTGCAGCTCCCTTCTCTGGCTGCTCCGTAGCTCCCTCTTGTGGCCACCGTCTGACTGTGGTGTCCGTCTGGGGCTGCCGACTTCGTCATGCAGCAAGTAATGATGCTTCCTCTGGCATCCGTAGACATTACACGCACGGCTTCTCTTGCAGAACCGTGCCATGTGCCCGGTTTCAAGGCACGCGAAGCAGATCCGATGTTTCTTGATGAACTCCATCCGCATCCTGACAGTGGCGTGATGGAATTCCTTGCAATCCTTGATGGCGTGTTGCCCTTCACACATGAGGCAACCTCTGGGGTCTTCCCCTCTGGGATCTCCCCCGATGATCACTTCGCATTGGATGATCCAAGTTTGCGTTCGCATGTAACACCCTTCGCTTTGGGTATTTACTGCTCCCGTCCGTAATGGTACACACCAGCTTGGCGAGCTCACTTAGCCACTCGCTCAAGTGTGCTACCGTTGGATACGGTTTTATCGTGGCCGCGTGTCTGGCCCAGTCCAACCTCTTACTTAGGGGCAATTTGGTGATCAGCTCCTCCATCAGGGTGGGATTTCCTAGGTGCTGGTCACCGCTGGCGGTTGACTGTAGAAACGCTGCGAGATTGCTCACCCTTGAGGCGAACGACACAATCCTTCCAATGTTGTGCTCCTGAATTGGCTGTAGCTCCTGTACGCTCTCCAGTTGACTCCGGATCAATTGCTCCGGACGTCCATAACGGAAGCGTAGCTGATCCATTACAGCTTCCACGTTGTTTGGATGAATAAGCAGTGATTTGACTGCCGTCCTCGCTTCACCCTTCAGAGCTTTCACTAGCCTTTGGTTGTTCTCTAATGGTGTACACTGATATGCTGCCGTCGTCTCCATTGATTAAGCCCGCTGTTCCATAGGAACCGGGTGACGGCGTAGATATCGCGATGTTGTGCTGTGGCTCCCGTGGTGCGTGGACATAACCTCGTTCTGGCTGCACCGTGGCTGTGACACAACATGGCGGCGAGTAGCTTACAGCTGTACAGCCTGTGACTTGTTGCCCGATCGCCGCATTTCCACTCAAATATGGCGGCAAACTTCCACTCAATTGTGGCGGCGGATTTGCACAGAATTGTGCCGGCAACTGTCCATGGCAAGATGGCGTCACTGATCCCGTTGGCAGATTTTCACTCAAGAGCTGCCCTTCTGTTGCGCTCAAACATGGCGCCTTTCCTAGCGGTGTATTCGCCGCACCGCTCATTCCGACGCCGCTCAACCCGATACTAACGGGATTCCTGACGGCCGTCGCTTGTCCTTCATTTGCCCTTGCCTGTAGGAGCTCCTTCTCCAGACTTGAGCGTCGCAATCTGCGTAGTCCAGGGGTCCATAGCCTGTCCTGGTTGTTCCGCCTGGGCAGTGTCCATGGTGCGTTTTACCCCACTTTCCTTTGGAGTCCGTGGCCGCTGTCGTCCACCATCTGCGTTCGCCAAGCCGGCCGGTGTGCCAGATGCTGCAGATGAGGTCCTTGTAGCTGCGGTAGCCTCAGATTGGTTTATTCTGGGGCTCCGTCTGGGCGAATGTGTAGTCGGCATGTCGCACATGAAACTGTGTATGCACGCTTCCAAATGCCGCTAGAGTTCCAACTCCAAGACTCCGAATAACGGAATACGAATAAAAGAAATGACGCCGATCTAAATTCCAAGTGGAGTTGCCTTTAACACTCTTCACCGAAACGAGAAATACCAGATCCCGTAGCGTAAGAACACATCAATTTGACAAGCATAAATGAGCGTTGTGTGAGCGTTTTATTCTGTTGGGGAAAGCATACAAACTTAACTTTAACCTCAACCTATATCTTCTACATACCGCAGTATTTCCTCCCTTCTCTCTTGGAATCGCCGATCGGAGTAACCGTGGCGCCAATCTTAGCGTAGCTTTTTAGCACATAATGTGACCAATCACAAACAAATATAAATCACTAACAAATATTGAACGTAGCGCGTAATTCAAAATACTGACTGACTATCGATACTTAACAGACATTATCATTAACATTATCCGTTCCGCGACACCTAATATATGAAGAACTTTATGATCAAAAGAGTATACATATGTAAGTCGAGCGCCTCTCAGCCATATTTTCCATCGAAACCCAAAATTTTGTTTCTAACGGAGAATGACAACAGTGCAATAAGAAAAACGAAGACAAATTTGGAGTCGGACCGCCGTCGGATGCAAGCAACGATTAGTATTATAAGAGTGAGAAAGAGAGGGAAACTTTGGAATATCCCTTTTTGTTTCCTACACACACGATTGCTTAAGGGGTTACATGGGTTTCAGGGTTTCAAAAAATCGATTTTTTTTTTTTGTCTTATTAAATTCTATAACATTTCTAGAATATTGTCCTAAATTTTCAAGTTGATCCGAGTAATAGTCTCGGAGATACAGCCTTGAGAAGGTGGACGCTTGAGATCACTTTCATTGTCTCTTAAAACTTTAAACGCGTTTTTCTCAAAACTATGTTTTCAAAGTCGGTTGTCAAAATTTCTCGCAAACTACTCAACCGATCTTAATGAAATTTTACACAAGTATTCGAGATATCATTTACAAGGTATTGAACGAAGGATTTTTTTTTTTTTCAATTACAACTATTTAAAAAAAAAAAAGTGTCGAGAAATTTTCATCGAAATTTGCATTTTTTTGTAAAAACGTCTGCCAAAAATCCAATTTTCATTTTTTTTTTTTTTCCTTCGTCCAATACCTAGTTTATTGTCTATACTGAAACACGTTTTTTTTATTTTTACTTTGGATGATCCTGAAAGAAGTTCTGCTGACAACGCGGAGGCACCTTTTTTCCGAGGGACTGCCGGAAATGGCGTCGTAATGGCCGACATTTTGATATTTTTTTTGAAAATTTCACAAAATCTTTATTAAATATGTATCTTTTAAATAATAAAAAGTTTCATTGAAATATTTCATTTTTTATATGCAAAAAAAATGTTTGAAAAAAGGCCGTTTTTTACCCCAGGAAACCCATGTAACCCCTTAAATGCCACGAGTCACCAAGTGACAGCCAGAACTGCAGGGTTAGGATAGCGACTAAGGCAGGCAAATTGCTTTCGTCGTTCGCCTAGACTATGTTTCACTACAAACTCAAAGTCCTGCAAATAAATAATCTTGACACATCCGTCTTCTATAAGGTTTGCTTTAATGCGGCGCAATATTTTTATTAATTTAAAGGATATTTCAAGCTAAATGTCTGAATTTCTTAACTACAGTAGAATCCTGTTATAACGAATCCGCTTATAGTGTCCGTCCAGGTATTGCGACGAAAACTCGATGGCTTAATTGGTCCCCTGACAGACTTATACACTTATATCCTTGTGCTTAGAATAACGGGTATAACGACGAAAACTCGTCGGTCCCTTGAAAGTCGCTATAAGCGGATTCTACTGTACTTCAATACTGGATTTGGTGAAGACTGCCGTCTGTCTGCTTCAATACTGCTGCAAATCCGTCTTTTGAGGCATTCGTGTGTAACTCGGTCTTGTTTTCCCTGGTGTAGAAAATGAGAGAAGAAGGTATCTAAGGCCACTTAACCATTAAAATGTTATAAGAAATATTTAAAAATTATAAAAGCATTTGTTTATATCAGTCTTTTAAACTATTTATAATATCGTACTCATTGCTCTCATTGCAATAGTTTTAGTTAATCTTTAGCTACTGATACATAAACTCAAACATTAACAACTAAACAAGAATAACACTTTATTTGTATTTATAAAACTTTCTCAAACAAACTTAACAGAAGCAGACGAATAAATAAATAGAGTCAGGTCACAAAATAAAATATTAAATAAATAAAATGATTTGTTGTAGCAGTTTTGATAAATGGATGTATGTAAATACTAAAATATATTTTTATTGGAAAAATTATATTATAAATATATTTTTTAATGTTAATTATATATATTATAATATACATGCATATATAATATCTCTATATATTTTTCTAAATTTTTCAATATGTAAATTTCCACCAAACCTGTACATCGATTAATTGCACCTGTAAATAAAAACACATGAATTTATTATGTCTTACGACGGACAAAAACGTACTTAACTAAAACAAAGGTCATGAATCCTTTGGACGCTCAATGCAACCGTCAACGAAACGATGCCATATGCGTGAGCCAACTAAAAAACGCTCTTGAGATTGATCGCGGTATATTGGCAGAGAAGCCAGATGTAAAGATTTTCCTACCGTTCCGCTTCTTTGTGTACCGAGCAGAAGATCTATTCCAGCCAAACACTTATAATAGATTCTTGGGTATGTAATGCAATTATATAACATAAGCAAACAATAAAACGGTTAACCGAAATATTTTAGTGGCACCCACCGGAGACCATGTGATTTCACTTATCGATGAAATTTCCTACCTATCGGCACCAGCGCCGCTGACGTCTCAGTTCAATGATATCAATCCAGAACAGTTTTGTAACGGAGACAATCGCCCCGCTGATTGTGGACCAAACTGTATGTGCACCCATAAGATTGACATACCACTTAATGCAATTGTGGAAGTAGTTTTGGTAGATGAAGGTAAGTATTGTTTTAACCAATAAATAAAAAACAAGAAAAGACGCTAGCTTCGCCGAGCCGAAACTTATATACCCTTGCATTCATTAAATTTGTCTATTATCTATTGTCGGGGCTATTAAGCTATTAATTTGCTACATTTTCGACGATTGTTCATATAACTATCCCTCTGATTTTTATGAAATTTCATTCGAAATTTAAAAATTGTTAGGAAATCATGCTTGTATGATGAAATACAACGCTGTTATATTTTTATTTCCGTTAATTCTATATAGGTTTTTCGATCTTGCCAATGGCTGCTATACGATATAGTTTTCCGATTTTTATGAAACTTTTTTTCGAGTTAAGGGTAGTTCAACAACTGTATGTTCTAAAAATCATGCTCGGGGGATAAAAAATAAAGACGTTTTCATTTTTATGCCGTTAATAATTTATACATTTTTCGATCTTTCCAATGGCATCTATATGATATAGTGATCCGATTTTAATAAAATATATAAAAATCGATGGTAGTTAAAAAACACTTTTTGGAAGAAATCAAGTCGATATGATCAAAATCAACGGCGTGAAATTTTTTTTTTCAATTTCTCGTATGGTAGCTATCCGGTATAGTGGCCCCCTCCGACTTATATTCTGCAATTCTGCAATAACTACACAACAAGATAGCTTTAAAACTGAGAGACAAGTTTACATAGAAACAGACAGGCGCACAAGAATATATGTACTAATGGGTCTCCTTCAATGCGTTGCAAACTTCTGACTGAAATATTAAAGTAACGCTCCGAATATTAAATAACCTTGCAGTTGGCACTTAAGTTTAAGCAACGACTTCACTCATGGGAAATCTTTAGCAGTGGCGTAACTACCGGTGTAGTTCCGGCCCTTTCGGGGCCCCCAAAGCTCGGGGACCTGCAAGGCTGGGGCCTGGGAAATTCAGAAAGCTGCACAAATTTTTGTGACCGTCACATCGGCTGTAAAATAAACTTATGTTCTACTCTCAAAAGTGTCGTTTTCTATAACACAAGTTTTTCTGACGTATGTAGTTACGCCACTGATCTTTAGTAACCAATATTTTTAGATCTTTATAAAGTTTGCAATGTTTTGCACTACAGTATTTCTCTGGTTATGTCAAATTTTTCATCAATATTCTCATTTTTTATATGACGGCCTAATGATTTAGTATTCCGATCGGTGTTACATTTTTATATAGTTTTTCTGGGCTTCTTCTGATGGGAGCTATGTATGCCTTTAAGAATAGCTTACTGAGCGCCAATTCGTTTCAAAATTTTCTTCGGCAAAATTGTGGCGCGCCTGACGATGGATCTCTGTGATTCTTGAAGAACTTGCCATTTTTGATGGCACCAAGTGTTGGCAAGTGTGTAAAGTCCGCCCAATGGTGGCTTTGGACACCTTGTTGGCCTCATAATGATCCAAACCGGCGGAGGACATGGTGGAATTGGAGACCTTTTTCACTATAAGCCGCTTATCTCGAACGTTTAACTTTGTTTTTTGGAGCCCTTCAAAATTTTTTTTTATAGTTTTCATTATCTGCCAATAAATCGTGTACAACATTTCACGATCTATTTATTTTCGTGGCGATTTGGCTCACATTAAGGCCTGAGTCCAAATATGCATCAATTTTCCCCCATCCATTTTCCCATCTTTATCCTAAAGGCCTATTTTAGTTTCATTTGATCAATAAAAGCATCAGATTGAAAAAAAAACGTTTTAAACAAACTGCGCACTGTACACAAGTGACTACTGACAACTGTCCTACCCAAATGAATCGATTTTCAGCATGCAAAAACCATGCAGCAGTGTAAAAACTCAATTAAAAAAGTGGGGAAAGCAATAATGAAAAATGTAATGCATTTTAGAATCACAATATAACAGCGATTATACGAGGTTTATTCAAAAAGTATCGCGAATTTTGTGTTTTTTTATTTATTCATGAATATCATGAATATAACTTGCAGGTTAAGAACTGCAGGGCAAGAACTCATGATGCACCACGCCCCTGCAATCGAAGAAAACTGTCAGCAAAACTTTCACATTCGACCGAAAAAAAATTTAAGCTTTCAACGATTTTTGTCTTTGCTACGAGCGATCAACTATAAAACTTGATAGGTGTCCTATCCAAATGAAACGAATTGTATTTATAAGTAATGGGACAAACATTATAACGTCGTTGTTGTTTATTCCATGAGCATGAATTTTACAACATCGATTTTTTTAACTACGCTTGAACCGAAAAAACAATTTCATAAAAATCGGACAATTATATCATATACATAGCTGCCATAGGAAAAATCGAAAAATCTATATCGTTTCATTTTCATTTGAAATATAGAGTTTTCTAATGACTCTTGAATAATGAGTTGAATTAAATCAAAATCGGACGACTATATCATATAGCTGCTGGAAGAAATCTGATAAAAAACAACGGCGTAAGATTTTTTTATTTCATTCTCTTGTATTGGAGCTATCCGATATAGTCGGCCGATCCGGCCCGATCCAACTTATGTATATACTGCGTGCAATAACTACACAACTCTTGGAAAAGTTTCAGCAAGATAGCTTTAAAACTGAGAGACTAGTTTACATAGAAACAGACAGTCGGACAGTCGGACCGACGGACAGACGTACATACATATTTCTATTCAGATGGTGATGCTGATCAAGAATATATATACTTTATGGGGTCTAAGGTGTCTCCTTCACTGTGTTGAAAACTTCTGACTGAAATTATAATACCCTTTGCTCTGCAAGGGTATTAAAATAAGAACAGTACACAACATTGTTCGGCGGTTTGTTATGGAGAGCAAATTAATTGGGAGCAATCTTTTCGAACATGCGGGTAATTATCAGTTTGCATTCGAGCTTAGTAAGCTTAGTAAGGCAAATGTCAAAATAAAGATTGGCCGGAACAAGGATATAAATAAAGTCTTGGATCATCAAAATCGACCATCTTTTATCCAAGCACTCCCTTAGCTTTATTAACCATGTTTATTTATTTAGCTTTAGGGTCCAAGAGGACGCCAAGATCGTCAACAAGCGTTGTTCTCTCTAAGGTATTTCCACTTGGCGTATGGGTGATATTATACGGATTGACCCGACAAAACGTCATCAGCTTGAACTTAGAGCTGTTTTAAGGGGTTATATACCTTTTTCAGAATCAAAAAATCGAAAAAAATTTTATAAATTTTTTTTTGATGTACATACTTTCAACAATTTTTCTGCAAAATTTTTTAGAGATCGGAGCACTAGAACCTAAGATACAGCCGTTCATAGCGCACGGTGTACAGTGTACCTAATGTCCACCTAAAACTTTAAACGCGATTATCTCGGAATCGCATTTTTGAGAAAAGGTCATTTCGCTGAGCACGATATCTCGGTAACCACTACATCGATCGATTTGAAATTTTGGGGGATTGTTTTTAGATACAATAGCTAGTTCGTGAACGAAGGAATTTTTTTTTCGACAAATTTTTCTATTTTTTTGGGGCGAAAAACTAAATTATTAGACCTCGAAAAATCGGTTTTTTTGAAAAAATAGTCACTGTAACTGTAAAAAATTTTTTTCGTAAAATCCTTCGTTCACGAACTAGGTAACACTATATACTAAAGTAGTTTTTTTCATTTTTTTTTTAAGTTGAGCCGTTTTCTTGTTTTCATGCTCACCGCAAGCCTCTAATGAAAAAAGGACTTCTGCGGGAAGGACTATAACTTCCACAATACTCAAAATTTTCACTCGAAATTTTATACGAATTAAGTTAAGGACACGTACTTTGATAAAATTTTTATTGAATTTAAATAAAACAATGGTAACATGCATTGAAATTATCATCCGAGGACTACGTAGTTCCAGGTATATTTAAATTACGTAGAACTACAAACTTATACCTATCGGGCAAAGAACTTGAAATTGACTTTACAGCAGATAGGTGTCTTAAATAATTCGTAAGATCGGACGAAGATATATGTACGAGCAGGTAATAAAGATTAATATTCCAGAGAACGACAGTTTTATACAATCAAATTCTTATTCAAATCACAGAAGTTCTTCTGACAGTAGCTCTTCTGGCGTGAGGTTAGCTTTCACTGCAACAAAGATACCCCACCCCTTTTAAAATAACGGTCAAGCCTTACTGGAAAAAACTAAGTTTCTGTAAACACATTAACTTGGTACGCAAAACAAGAAGCAATCAGTAAATTTGGAGGTTATTATTATTATTAGGTAACACTACAACCCGCACGCCTCCAATCGGAAATATCCAGAGCAGTTAAGTTCTCCTCCACTTGGATCTTCCATCGGAGCCTTGGTCGTCCGTAGTCGGCCCTCGCTTCAAATACCTTCTGAGCTGGAGATTCTTCATCCGTACGCACAACGCGGCCGGCGCCAGCGCAAAAGTTTTATGATATGCCGGCCCACGCCCACGTCGTCGCCAATACGATCTTGCTAAGAATTTTTTTCTTGAACACTCCAAGTACTGCTGCATTCCTCTGGCGTTGGATGTTTACTGGCTCTCTGCAAAATCCCTTTCATTACAAAATTGAAGAGGTCGCATAACAGAGGGTCGCCTTGTCTGAAATCTCGAACGGTAATAAAAGATTCGTAGAGGTTCGTTCCTATCTTCACAGAGCTGATGGTGCTACTCAATGTCATTCTGCAAAGACGTATCAGCTTTGGAGGAATACCGAACTCAGACATGGTGGCATATAGGCGTTCCCTCGTCGGGCTATCGAATGCAGCTTTATAATCGACAAAGAGATGGTGTGTGTCGATGTTATTCTCGTGGGTTTTTTCTAGGATTTGGCGTAATGTGAAGATCTGGTCTATGGTGGACTTACCAGGTCTGAAGCCGCACTGATAAGGTCCAATCAGTGGGCTGGTATACGGCTTCAGTCGTTCACAAATTACGCTCGATAGGACCTTGTATGAGATGGTAATCAGGCTGATTCCCCAGTAGTTGGCGCATATCGTCGGGTCACCTTTCTTCAGTACAGGACAAAGGACGCTGAGATTCCAATCGTTGGGCATGCTTTCTTCTAGCCATATTTTGCACAAGAGCTGATGCATGCACCTTATCAACTCTTCGCCGCCGGCCTTAAACAACTCTGCAGGCAGCCCATCAGCACCGGCTGCTTTGTTGTTTTTGAGCCGCATAATAGCAACTCGGACCTCGCCATGGCTAGGTAATGGTATATCCACATTGTCGTCGATTGGTGGTATCGGGCTGCTTCCTCCAATGGCGGGATTGGTGCCGTCATCGCTTGCTAGCAGCTTGGAGAAATGCTCCCTCCATAACCTTAGCGTGCGCTGCGTATCCGTAACCAGATTTCCATTTTCATCTCGACAGTTAGATGCTCCGGTCTTGAAACCTTGTGTCAGACGGTTGACTTGTTGGTAAAATTTTCGAACATCATTACTGTCCTGCAACACCTCAAGTTCCTCGCACTCTCGCTTTTCTTGCTCCCGTGTTTTCCTTCTGAAAAGTCGCCTCTCTTCCTTCCTTTTCTCCCTGTAACGTTCACACGTAGCTCGCGTTGCGCCAGACTGCAGCGTTTTCTGTGGGCGGCGTTTTTTGCTGCAGCTGCGACGCGACACTCCTCGTCATACCATTGGTTCCGTGTGGGCGGGCGCTTGAATCCAATGGTTGTTTCAGCAGCAGCTCGCATGGAGTGGGATATGTGCGCCCAAAGTCCGCCGGCGTCAACAGAGAGCGGGTTAGGTTGGTGGAGTAGTTCCGAGAGGTGAGTGGAGTAGGCCATTGCTGTCCGTTGTGATCGCAGCCTAGTGACGTCAAGCTTTCGTTGCGTGATGGGGCGTATATTTTTCGCTCCGCATAGCCGCATGCGTATCTTGGCTGCAACAAGATAGTGGCCCGAGTCAATCTTGACTCCACGAAACGTACGCACGTCCATCACGCTTGAGGTATGCCTTCCGTCTATCACAACGTGATCAATTTGGATGCGCGTTCTTTAATCAGGGGACAGCCATGTGGCCTTGTTGATGTCGAAGTGCCGAAATCTGGTGCTACTCACTACCATGTTTCGCGCCGCGGCGAAGTCAATCAGCCTGAGACCATTGTTAGAGGTGATCTCATGGAGGCTCAAACGACCGACGGTGGGGTCAAAGATGCGTTCGCGCCCAACCTTTGCGTTGAAGTCCCCGAGGATAATCTTCACGTCGTGGTCTGGGCAGCGGTCGTATGTGTCCTCGAGTCTCGCGTAGAATGCATCCTTGACAGCATCGTCCTTCTCCTCCGTCGGGGCGTGCGCGCAAATTATGCTAAGATTAAAAAATCTAGCTTTGACGCGGATTGTAGCCAGCCGTTCACTTACTGGGGTGAAATTGGAGACGTGGCAACGAAGTCTCCGGCTTATTACAAATCCGCATCCAAATTCGCGCCTCTCCGCATGGCAGCTGTAGTAGATATCGCAGTTTGCTCTCTTGGAGAAACCTTGTCCTGTCCATCTCATTTCTTGAATGGCGGTAATGTCAGCCTTTAGTTTTTCGAGGGCATCCGCCAGTTGGATAGAGGCACCTTCCCAATTAAGGGTTCGGACATTCCAGGTGCATATCCTCAAATCGTAGTCCTTTTTCATTTTGCGGTGGTCGTCAACATAAGGGGGGATCTTATCGGAGGTTTTCGTTTCGGTCTTCACTGGGCTTCTTTTTTTACGGGCGGATTCCAAACCCTGCGTTCAACGGTTTAATTTCCGGGTGACTTGCACAGGGCCTTTCTTTTATATTTAGCTACTTATTGTCCTTAACCACAATTATTGCTTACCTAAAATGGCTTGAGCATATGGTGTAAAAAAGTTCGTAGCATACGAAAAATTAAATTTTTCCACCTTCACTTTATCAAATGATAAGACATAATTTGTGGAATCACTACAAGAGCATTGTCAATATAGGCCGGTAGTCTGGTCTCAGGAGTGTCTTGTGGTGTTATATTTAATTGGTTAGGTGTAATCCCTGATTGGGAACCACCTTCAGACAAATCGGAACTGTTTATCGGCATAGGCCGCATACACTACGCTGTGAATAGATCGAGGTCCGATTTTTTTTTATGTGCCGATCTTAGCCATATTTGTTGTTACTCTTAGGCCTATTACCAGCAGCTATTTTGCGCTTCGAGGAAAGATCATTAGCCTTGCCAAAACTATCTCTAGCAGCGTTGCCAGTTTTTTTTTTGGCAAGTCGGGACTTAGGAACTTTTTTAGTGAAAAAAGCGGGACTCTTACGTCAAAAGCGGGACATAATAAAAAACGTATATAACCAGAAGTTTTTAAAATATTTATCTTTTTATTTCCATCCAAATTAAGTTAAAGTACAATAGATAGTAAAATTAGCTATAGAAAATATATTTTAACAAAAATATAATATTTCCCATGATATTTACTTTTTCGTTAAATATTTGGGTTTTCGTTCCCTGAATAAAAAAAATAATAATAAACAGAAATCAAAATCAAATAAGTACTATTCATTAGAACCATATGGCCTTTTAAACAATAGTCTGAGGAGTAAATGTTTCAAATTTTTACTTACAATAAGAGAATAACTATTTATAACAATCACTTATTCATGATATTTCTGTGAAGATTTCACTTCTTTTAAAGTTCACGAACAAAAACACGTGAAAAACTTACTTTTGTTTGCTTAATGAAATCAAACTAAATTACGCACGCAATGCAACTCACTAAAAGATCACTGCTTCACTGCACTAAAACAAACGGTAATCGTTATTCTTTCGTTGATAATCGTACGTTTTCGTGAAACAAAAATTATAAGCAAATGAAAATAAGGAAAGAGCGAAGAGAAAGAGAGGAAGTCGCAGTCGCACGCGCCTCTCTCACTCCTGAGCGCTTCATCAGCCCGCACTTTCGAATTATCATTAAAAAGCGGGACTGAACCTGTCCCGCGCGGGACATTTAATTTTAATTTAAAAATCGGGACGTCCCGCCAAAATCGGGACGTCTGGCAACCCAGATCTCTAGCTATGCCAAAATCAGTAATTTACTGAAATCGTCACTTAATCTTGTGCAGCGCTGTTAACGCATATTACAATAAGCTATGCCAAAATTAGTAATAAGTCCCTTTAAGCTGACATCAGTAAGGCACATGAACGATTAAAATCTTTCACAACTTCGCGACAAGCGTCACAGCAGAACTGCAAACCAAGACCTTTACTGAGATCGTCACTAGTTCTTGTCCAGCGCTTTTAACGCATATTACCATAAGGTGTGCTTAAAGAGTAATTTGACTTTGAATTTTAAGGGAAAAATATTTATTTATTTATTAATGTTTATATTGTCCCCTTCAAAGTAATCCCGCTCATATAAAATACACTTATGCCAATGGTTTTTCTTATCCTCAAGCACTTCTCATAAGCACTTTTCGGTATTGCCTTGAGCTTTTCCTGCCTTGAGCTTTTCTTCAATCGTTCCAAATCTCCGTCCTCTTATAGGTCCCTTTTTGGGAACAAGAAAAAAATCAAATGGTACCAAATCCGGTAAATATGGCTGAGGCATGATTGTGCAAGCAAAAATGAGTGAGCAGAGGCGTTAATGCGTTGCAAAAGCCATGAATTGTTTTTGCTTTTCGCAAACGGTGCATAATTTCCAGATAATACTGTTTATTGACCGTACGACCATATTTTAAAAACTCTTAATGTTACAGTCATGGTAATTGAAAAAAACACTGAAAACAACTTTGGCGTTCAGAACGAGGTTCTTGAAAGAGTTTGTATCACTTGTAAACATTTTTTTTACTCAAAACAGTTTCAACATTGTACGTGTTACGGAGCACTTAATTTTATTTTTTACACAAAATTTTATGCAAATCCATTGACCCATATTTTTCGATAGCTAAAAATTGGGGAGCATGCAAACCACTTATAATCTCCACGCCACTCACAACCAAACAAAAAATTCCGTTCACTTGAATTTAGTACAGATGTTCCAAGACTGTACAAACATGAAAAAAATCGATAATCGAAAATACGCTCCCAGCGAAATTTGAAAAGTCACCTTACTTTTTGAACACACCTTGTACTTTTTTTAGAAGAATATTTTTACACCGTTGCCAGAGTTGCTAAGTATGTATTATAATTTCAGTCAGGGGTTGCAACGCAGGTATATATTCCTGGTCAGCATCATCATCGAGCACCGCTCTATCCATACTCCTGTTTCCTTGCAAACTAGTCTCTTTATTTTAAAACTACCTTATCGTAAGATTGATCTACTATATCACATAGCGGCTTAAAAAAATTTACCTTATTGAAAAATTAGAGATAATAATTATTGACAAAACACCTTATTGCTGACGAAGGGCGTCGCCAGCCGATGGCGCAGGGGGGCAAGTTGACTTTACCTACTACAATTCTGACCTCTCTCGTTCGTTATAAAAGTAGGGTTAGATTAATTAAATTGTATCAAGGATCCTAATTTGGTGCAGCTGCCCCTCCCTGCCCCCCTTGGCGACGCCTTTGTTGCTGACGTTGTAAGGATTGGTTCCACTTAATAAAGGGTATATAAGTTTCGGGTTACTTGTTTAAAACGATATTACCGACTATTACCGATTATTATATGTATTTTTTTTGTTGCAGTTCAACAGCCCAACTTGTCCCATCCTTTTCATTTGCACGGATATGGCTTTAGCGTCATTGGTATAGGCCGATCACCGGATTCGTCCGTAAAGAAAATTAATTTAAAGCACGCATTAGACCTGGACAGGCGCGGACTACTACACCGACAGTATAACTTGCCTCCTACGAAGGACACAATTGCGGTGCCGAACAATGGCTACGTTGTTCTCCGTTTTAGGGCTGATAATCCTGGTAAATTGAAACAAAATATATTATATTTTTTAACAAATATCGTGTTAACAAACGTTTCCTTTTTAGGTTTCTGGCTTTTTCACTGTCATTTTCTATTCCACATTGTTATTGGTATGAATTTGATTTTGCAGGTCGGCACTAACGCTGATCTGCCCCCAGTACCACCAGGTTTCCCAACATGTGGTGATCACACTCCACCAATTCCAATAAACTAAGACTTAACCGAGACGACAACTCCCCAAAGCCACATGGCAAGGCATTTTGAAAACGAACAACGAAATTTTTTAGGAACTTAAATGACCTACATACATACTGATTGAATAGTTTGTAAAAAGCCTAACCAATCCCATTATATGTACCAATGTATATATTTCTGTAAAATAGCACAAAGCACAGATATCCTTTTTAATAATGAGAACACTGCCAATGCCCAATTGTATATTAATCACAATATTCATAGGAGTATTGACGACCCTCCTTTACATTTGATACCCAGCATCGTACTATAAAATGTATATATATAATAATATGTGTGTATTTGTAGAAACTAAAAATACAATACATTTATTTATTTTATGAGAATCACGTTACTTTTCCTCTGTAATGTTTGAAATGACTGCAAGCAACCAACCGCTTTTCTTATATTTTCTGCACTTTATTTGAGTTGACTGTAACTAGGAACATATGGTTATTAAGTAACCGTTTTAACATCTTTATCTTAAAACATTTACCAATACGGTAAGAAGTTAAAAAAATCACTACTTTTGACCACGGCCGAGTGTTTAAATATTTTAGCCCTCAATGTTGCACTCAAATATATTCATCTGCCATAATTTTTAAAATATATTCTTAAATGTTAAATATTAAACAACTTACGTTTCAATTTTTTCAAAATTTTTTTCTATGCCATTTTTTATCATTGGACAGGTTTAATAGTTTTTATATATTACAACATTTTTAGTATTTTTTTAAAACTAAAAAAAATTTCGCATATGTGGTGTTTCGAATTTTTTTTTATTAAAAATGTCTGCTACTGAAACTAATCTTGTCCTTAATTTAAATTGTCACATGTTTCAAATTTGGAAGAACTTGTGTTTAACCTTGTAAATTCTGTTTTTTTTTTTAACATGAAGGCTTTAAAACTTATTAGATTCAAATCAGTATAACGTAAAATAGAAATTCCGACTATATTTACAACATTGCAACACGAACATTTTATAAGGGTTACCAAGTCGAGTGAAACACAGTTCAGTATTTTTTGTACTGCACCAATAAAGAAAATCGAATAATGACAGCTGGGTAAATTTGGATGCAAATATGTATATTTCTGACGAAAGTTCTTGTGGTTCACCGCTCGAAGTCCATATGCTAGTTAAATTTTGTTGTTCTTTAACTTACATTTTTCTTTTAATCTAAAATGTATATATTTTCTACCTACAACAAAAAAATAAAATAATTACTTTGTAATGTACATTGAACCGTTTAAATAAATATTCAACATATTATTTTTAAACTGAAAATTTAACTCCTTTAGTTCGATTAAATTCTACCAACTCGCCAGCAGCTAGTAAAAGTCAAACCCATGTAAATCGCTAGCTGCAAATATTCTACGCTTAATTGTACTTTTATGGATATTTTACTCCTGGTACCTTTATATATTGTATATGTACATATGAATGTCTGTATGTATAATCTCTAAAATAAATTTATTAAAACTTTTAATTGATCTTTTGATATTAAGAAAATATTAATGACCACAACACAAAACGCCTGTTTATATAATTTAAAAATTGTTTACATTATCTTACTCGTACTTAACAAGCATTAAGCTATAGTACTTACGTGTGCACATATGTACATATGTATTATCCATTTGCAAAAAGCATTTATGGTCTTCTACCTTAATATAACAGTACAAAGTTAACAAAGTGCCATTTTCACAGATTCTCAACCCTTTGGATGCTATTTGTGATCGCAAACGGGCTGATGCGATTTGCGTTTCGAATTTAAAAAATGCAAAAAAAGTCGACAAAGGCGTTCTGGTTGAACGCCCTGATGTGAAAATCTTTTTTACCTTTCAGATTTTACGTGTATGAACCAAAAAGTTTATTCATACCAAACACTTACAACCGTTTCTTAGGTATGTGAATTTAAATTGGTGATTGATTTTTTTTCAGAGACTTTAAATTTCTTTTTTATGTATGCACTCATATTTATTTGCGTAATGGGTATTAACAACACCACGACACCTTCAAAACTTTCCTTTACTTATAGTTGTGCCTAGTGGGGATCATCTGACATCTTTAGTCGATGAAATATCGTACATATCACCACCGGCACCCCCTCTATCACAAATCGACGACATTCCGCCCGAATACTTCTGCAACGGGGACAACCGACCGCCAAACTGCGGGCCAAACTGTGAATGTACACACATGGTTGACATACCACTTGGAGCTATTGTTGAAGTGGTGTTGGTTGATGAAGTCCAGCAAGCGAATCTTAGTCATCCATTTCATTTGCATGGTACAGCCTTCTATGTAGTAGGACTGGGGCGATCGCCAGATAGGTCAATAAAAAAATCAATTTAAAGCACGCTCTGGAGCTGGACCGACTGGGCAAGCTTGAAAGAGATTTTTCGAAGCCACCTCTTAAAGATACAATAGCCGTACCTAACAATGGATATGTTGTTATGCGGTTTCGCGCAGATAACCCAGGCTTTTGGCTTTTCCATTGTCACTTTCTTTTTCATATCGTCATAGGCATGAATCTCATCTTCCACATCGGAACATTGGAAGACCTACCACCAGTTCCACCCCGATTTCCAACATGTGGAGACCATGTGCCACCGGTTACTTGGTACTAGTCCGCTCACATAGTTAGTTAAAATATTAGTGTACTTTATAATTTAGTTTTTGATTATTTATTAACATTTGCCCAAACTTAATTCAATAATGAATAAATTTTATGTATAAAGGATTTTTCTTTTAATACATTTTGATGTTAGAAATTATGTTTCATTCTCCCGGTGCTGATCATTGATAAAAAGTTGCTGTTATATACAATTTATTTCTCATCCAGAAGCCAAAAACTGTTTTATAAACAGAAATTATTGAGCAATAACAATAAGTTAATAATTACCATACTCCCCATTTTCAACTTATAGTCGCATCAGACGCTGATCATCTTATATCACTAATCGATGAGGTATCATACATATCGCCACCTTCCCCGATGCTGTCCCAGTACAATGACATACCCCAAGACTATTACTGTAATGGAGATAATCGACCAGTAGACTGTGCCGAAAACTGTCAGTGTACCCACAAGATCGATATACCTCTTAACGCGATTGTCGAGGTCGTGCTTGTGGATGAAGTTCAACAGATTAATATAAGCCACCCATTTCATTTACACGGTACATCTTTTTATGTATTAGGACTGGGACGATCTCCGGATACTCATATTAAACGGATGAATTTAAAACATGCACTGGATCTTGACCAACGCGGTTTGTTAGAAAGGCATTTCCTTAAACCATCTCTAAAGGATACAGTAGCTGTACCAAATAATGGATATGCTATACTACGATTTCGAGCAGATAATCCAGGGTTTTGGCTCTTTCATTGTCATTTCTTATACCATATTGTAATAGGCATGAACTTGGTATTTCAAATAGGCACTCTTAATGATCTACCTTCTATACCACCTAATTTTCCACGTTGTGGAAACCATTTACCCCCCATCATTACGAAGACTTCATTTTAGCAAAATTAGCTGTCCCTTGGGTTCTTTAAGTTTTGGTGTACTTCTATTTTAACAGCCATTTCCCCAAAACTCTAAACAAAATTTGTTTTGGCTTCTATTTACATATTTTTTTAATTTCTTGACGGACTGTTATGATGATCTTCGGTATTATATTTCAAATTACGGAAAGTGCAAAAATCAATTATGCGAAACAAAGACTTTACGACTGTAAATGCAAGCTAAATGCATTTCTAAGTAAATTAAATGAATTAAAAATTAAGGGGTTATATCCAGTTGCGAGGCCGAAAAAATTAGTGTTTTTGTAAATTATTTCTGGAGAGGCCTTTTATTGTATATATATGTGTTATATATGAAAAGTTAGATAATTTTTTGTAGTTTCAGAATACATTTTCAAAAAAAAAATATTCGATTCCCTCGATCCTGTAGAGGATCTCCTGAGGGTCCACTGAAAAAAGGTGTTTTGCGGTGAGGAAGATATCTCTGATCCAAATTATAAGAAATACAAAAAACCAAAAGGATTACGTATAGAATAGACAAATACTAGTAATGACGCGGGGAATATTCAAAATTTTGATTTTAGACAAAATGGCGGCTTCCCAAACATAAAACTTTGTTTTTGGCATAAAAATTTTAACTTTGAAGTGACTAAAAAAATAGAAAATTGTCGGAGCCAAAATTCCCCGCGTCATTACCTGAAAAAAAATCTAAGAATAGCCTTTGAAAATTTAAAGTCAATCGGTCAAGCCGTTTTGGAGAAATTTTCCTCACCGACTTTGAAAACATAGTTTCGATAGGCTACTAGTTGAACTACGTCGGAGACGTCTTTAAAAATACACTCATTACTCAAAAACTATTTAAGGGAATTCTTTGAAATTTTCAGACAAATATATATACATTCTTAAATATATATACATTCAAAAGAGGCAAAAATAAAATTTCGATTTTTTCAAAATTGCAACTGGATATAACCCCCTAAGCAAAAGATTGGTTTTGAATTTACAAACATAAATTAAATTTTTAAGTTACGTACTTGGAAATTCAATTTTCTAAACAATCTGGCTAACCGCCAAGAACTTTCATTGTGTACCATAAATCGAGGTCAGTGCAATCTAATATATTGACAATGTTTCTGGTACAGCATTACTCTAGGCTATTTAAAAGTTTTTTTTACATCTACATAAACAATAGTGTATATTATATGTATGAATAAAATTAAAAAAGCTCAGAGAGACAAGATAATGTAAGTAATCCCAATGTAAGTTTATTTTTCTATGAAATAAAGATTAATCTTAAAACCATTTTAATAAGGTGTATTGTATCTATATATCTATATATAAGTTATGGCCAGACATGACCAGTAGTTATGGCCTGACTTGACCAGTAGGGGAAGTATTCCCCTGAATATTACCTAATGAGCGGTATCTGCATCCTTGTGATCCTTGCTTCCTTCATCCTTCCTTCTATGTCTTGAATGCCGTTGCAATTCTGGCGTTCTGTCGTTACACTGTCGTTCTGCCGCTGTCGTTTGGTCTCTGCTGCGTCTCTGCTGGTCGTCAAGTTGGTTGAGGGAAGTCGTGGTGTCTGGTATCCGGGTCGAGAGGCGATGAGGAGAAGGGGGCGCTTGGCCGGTGTTAACTCCTCCCCACCACAAGATCTGTGTCCCACAGATTATTAGGCTTTGATTGCGGGTTCCAGGGCATCCTGCGCTCCCAGGTTTGTAGGCGGGTCTCGCAGTTTAGGGATTCCTTTGGTCGACGTTATCTTCTTCCAAACGAGGTACACCGTTGTCATTATGGAGAGAGCTATGA